TGCAGATTAAAAATCCGTTGTGTACAAGTTGAAATTATCCTCTAAGATGTGAAAAATTAATTAAAAACATTTCATACATATACGAAATGTCTTAATTAATTTCTAGAAATATTTAAGAACTCGACACATGCATCTTGATATCAGCGACATTAAGTGTTTCGCATCTTCGGAGGGTAATCTCAACTTGTCGGCGATGGCCTTGGTTGATAGTTTCACAACGGATTTTTAATCTTTATTAGAGATATTTTTATTCGTTCCGTAGTCGAGTTATTCTCGGCGCATCGTAACGCGAAAGAAGAGTAAGGGATAAGTCAACCGCATATCGGAGGAGTGCCCTTTTGCCACGAAATCGTTGCGGCAAGTTATTAACGTGACGTGTCGGTATCTACTCGGTGACGGTATCGATTATCGCCGTCCCGCTTTTTCGTCGCGTGCGTATGCAACATGCGGCATCTAGATGCCGCCGTGTCGCTTTAATTTCCATTTGCGTCTCCCGTCGACGAATTGTTATTAACCCCGGGTCATATCCTCGATCTTCCCTTGCCACGGAGGCCACGCTACAACCCTCCCGCGGCAAGAAAATAATTGCCACTGAATCCCTCGCAGCGTTTCTCGCGGTCCTGCAAATCATCTGGCCAAACTCCGAAAGCGCGAGAAGATGCTCGCTTTAACGCAGCTATAAAAATAATTCCGTTTGTTGCACTTGTAAAATAGGAGTACGGAAATTGCGCTGTTCGGGGAGAGAGTTTCTTCCACGTTATCTTATACTTATTGTTATCTGGATATTTATCAGGCGAAAAATGTTTTCCGCGTCTGTTTCGAAATTATTAAATAAAACAAAAATTATTGCAAACAGCTCGATCAATTATCTCGCCACCAGGTATTATCCGTCAAAACGTTTGACTTGTACGCGCTCTTTATTGCTATTACGATCGTCCGATAATCAACGAGAGGACAATTAAAGCCAAGTCAGCTTAGCTCTTTCGTCATTGTGATCGCGTGCGTTCATAATCAGCTTCGGTTTCGAGTACGACGGAGGTACGACCCAGTTAAGGCCGCGCGTCGTTTCGTTTGCATATTTGGTTTGCATATCTGCGCCGAGTACAAAGAGTGCGCTTTACTGCCACGTCACGGATTTAAAACCGCAATTAACGTTACGCCACGCTCCACGGAGGCGTGCAGAATCGGAAGGGAAAAGTTAATTCGGAAATTGTTCAGGAAACTGTTAAATAGTTGGACTCCGTGCGCGGAGCCTATCTGCACTTTCGGATCGAAAGCAAACGAAATTAAACGTGATTTTTACATACGTGAAACGGAGTCAGCTTCGTAAAACCGCGGGCTTTAGAGCGTAAAGGAAAGGAAAAATCAAACCAAGGACATACGCATACGCACCACGAAGCGTTCCCGATTTGCATCGAAGACAGAACGCTTATTGAAAAGGACACGTCACGATGCGACGCAACGATATTGAGACACGCACTCACGCTTAACGCGTCGCCTCGTTAGAAATATGCGCCGCGAGTCTCTGCATTCTCCCAGTAACTGTCCAGTAACCTTATATTACGGCGTTCCCATTGCCAGGTATGTTTCCGTATGCCATGCGTGTCATCGCGATTTCTATGCTAAACGCGCGCTATCGCGGCGCAGCCGACAAATGGAAGTCGGCGATTCCGGCGCGTTACGCGTCCCCGTTTTCGCCTTTTCTCTCCCACATAGAGACGTTTCCGTGGAATCGCGAATCTTCCCGCGGGACGGAAAATTTCGGAGCGGATGGCCGTCTGTCCGTATCGGAAGCCTGTAAATTTAGTTAACAAAGCTTACGCGGTCGCAGTGTCACGAGGATACCGTGAGGATCCGTGTGTGTTATTACCGGAGAACAATGAGCGCCATTGTGCGGTTAGCCTCACCGTTCTTCGATCAAACGGACTGATTATGTAATTAATTATTCGCAGTTCAATCGTGTTACATTAAACATTCTGGATTGGTAAGCTGATAAACAGCGATTACTGTGTCAATTTAAATACATAATCTCTATTGATTTTGGCAAATTCTCGATTCTCATTCGTAGGAACGTTGGTAATATATAATTACGATCCCGAGGGAGTAAATCGGAGGATATATCGTGTTTGTCTGAACGGAATTTCTAGTCTCCTCAGGTGGAGAAAACAATTTATTGGATTTATATTATAAGGTATAAAAAAAGCACAAGCTTTGGAACTTTCAAGGGATTGTCTTAATTTATCGTCGACGCGCTCGTTCGCCAGGTATTGGATGTTACGAGAGTTTAACGTGTTGGCGAACGAAAATCGATGTATGTAATCGTGTCTCGGAAAAGAAATCGAGAGGTTAATATTGAGGCACCGGCATTCACGGTCACTTGGAAGAACTAAATTGTGTAATGAATCTTCGGTGGTGCGCACTTTGCAAAGGTACCGACGACGCACGTAGGAAAGAATTATCGCGCGACCGACGAACAATTAATTGTCACTTCTACTTTAGGAGGAATTGCCGCCCGAAAGTAGAAATAATTAAATTCTAATCCCGCCGAGAATTTATCATTTCCCAGACATTTTTTACGTGCACTTGCCGTTAACTTCAACGTTCAAACGATGCATTTTCCTTGTTAAGACGTACTATATATTAGTACGTTCAAGCTTGAGAATATTAATATCTTATATATTTCTTTATTAAATATTTTATAAATTTCTTTTACTGTAATATGTTCAAAAG